TGAACAGAAGAAACTAACAGATGTAGATGATATTTCAGATGTGTTACCCTAGATTATGCATTCCCAAGATTTTTATTTTTTTTTCATTTTAGGGTTCTTCGTCATCATCACCTTGTCAAATGTTCTCGTCCACACACATATATATATATATATATATATATATATATATATATATATCTTTATCACATAAGTTTTCATGGTTATTGTTTTCTTTAAAAGTTGTTGGTTCTTTAAATCTGCTGAGGGGTTTCTATTCCTTCTTAATCTTGGATTAGAACATATATATCCGATTTTGTTGTTATAAGATATATCTTGATTATAAGGAAAGCATATAACCTATGTTCTCTACGAACATTTTGATGCTTTGTATAGGATGATGATCGATCTCAAAGAGGGTGAATGTAAAAGGGATGGATCTGCATGAAGAGGGAGAAGCCGTTCATGATTATCGTCCCTTCACTCTTGGCTAATCTTCTTCTTAATTATTGTTCATCTTCGATCAGCTATTAAGCTTCAGACATGGAGTAATGCTTCCGAATCATACATATATACATATATATATATGTATGTATGTATATGTGTGTTTATATGTTGCTTTGTTTCCGTACTTCAAAATGTCTTCGTTGAACGTATTTTGTCCATGTATAACGGTGAAATATTCTTTTAAAAAAACTATTCTTTCTCTTTTAAGCCTGTCTTTATATCGTTTTCTTTTAATATTCTGCTCGGATTCAATTCTACGACATTTCGACAGGATTTTTAATTAAATAATCACGAGTGAAGGGGATTTCAATCATTCATGATTGGATCTTTGAACGAAGTGAAAACACCTTGTCACATTTGGGATTAAAAAAAATAATTAAAAAAATGTAATTCGGCTGCATAAAAAACAAGGAGTATAGAAAAAAAAATGAACTTTATAAATTTGATAAATAAATATATGAATTTTTAATATTATATAAAACACATAAATTTTGAAAATTTTCGCATATAGCCATAAAAAAAAACCAATTGAGTGTTTTTATAAGTCTATGCAAAAATTTCAAAATTTATACATTTTTATACAATATTAAAATATATATTTGTTTACCTCATTTAAAAAGTTTTTTTTTTTTTGCTAATACTCCCAAATTCTGGAAAGAAATTGTTTTTGGTTGGTTTATGTTCTCCACTTTTATGGATTTTGGATAATGATCCAAACTCCATCAAAAAATTCTATTTTGTTCAAAGTAATGATTTTTCAGAAAATACAACCGTTAATTAAAAACATATTAGACTGTGTAATTTTACACAATCGAAAGGGATCCAAATCTCAATCCCAGGGGGTTGAATTTGTTATTTGGAGAGATTTCTGAGCAAAATAGAAAGCACATCAAGAAAGTAGGCAGAGGTTTTTATGATTTGGGCAAAGGAAGAAGGCCCGAAAAGAGGGCAGACATGTTGTGAAAGTAACATCAACACATACACCACACAACTCCTCCTAACGAGGGGGCTTCTCTCAAACTTTGGTCGGAACCTGAATCTACCGAAAGGGTTAAAGGAAAAAGGGGCCAATTTACGAAAAGATCCAAACTTTTTTGGAAAAAAAAAACAAGCAGGGGGGCAATACTATTCTTTTTTTTTTTTAAAGAGAGAGAGAGAGAGAGAGAGAGAGATGGGCTCTATATGTGCAACTTAAACATGATGTTCGTTCCATGGAGAAAGAAACTACCCCTTCTTGGTTATGTCTGGTCTTCGGCCATGTCTGCCTGTCTCCCCCCGTCATCCCAAACTCACTGCACAACCGAAAGAGAAACTCATGAGTTTAAAAGCTTTCTGAGACAACTTTGGGCAAAAAATCCCACCGCGTGTGATTGTTTGGTTTCTACTTTGTGCCACCAAATCCACTGAGAATGATGTAAGCTTTTTTTTTTTTTTTTTATAATCCATGGAAACCCAAAGGGAGAGAGGGGGAAGGGGGCATACCCTTGAGAAGTAACTGGGGAAATCCATCAACCCAAAATCAAGCGCTGCAGAGAGAATAGAGGAAGAAACTCACTTTGTCATCATATAAAAAAAGGGGGGTATAATGAATACACACTTCCTCCCAGGCTGGGGATTAGTTACTGAATCTAAATGAATATTCAGACCAAAACTTTTTCAGATGAAAGAGGCCTTGGGAAAAAGTAACAATCACGGAACGAAAGAACCGAAGCATAAAACACAACCCCTTTATGGTATGCCCTGCTTCGAACGTGCAAATGCTATTAGGAACTCTCACAAATTTGTCATCTCAGTCAGTAGACTAGCCTTAGAGACCAGTAGCTGCTAAGCTCTTTAATATCATCAAAGCTAACCTAAAATTTCTTGGAGCAGCTACCGGTAAAAATCAAGATGCAAATTCATAATCTTCTCCGTCTGACTTGACCAGGTAAATTCCACCAAAATCATTCGTAAAGATATACTTCAGACAACTGTTTCGGCACTAGAGGGTTTACAGAAACTTCATGAGCTTGAGGCTTTGAACAGAAAAGCATACATAAATCATAGTGACACTGCATAAAAAGTTCCCAAAGCTCACTGAATCAGATTCAACATTCTCGCCCACAAACAGCTTCACAACCAAATGATGATGCCCCTTTGAACATGTTTCCATGCTCGAGCTATAGTAGCTAATCCAGGCAGTTCGACTTTATATCATGCAGCAATTGTCACACTTAATCATAGGGATATCCCTTTCAAACAATGGTCATTAGGATCAAAGCATGATTTGAAACAGAACTAAATCAGTAGCCAGTACACAAATGCGACATCGCTTCTCTTCTCGTAATTTCTAGAGCGGAATCAAGCTCGACAGCTGAATTAGAATTAGCCAAAGCCCTTCAGTGGACAAACTGTTTCATGTGAAACTTTGCAGCAAAAACTATGACAAAAACCACACTAAGCGGGATGTGCATCATACCGGTCTCATTATTCTATCCTATCCTATACTTTTGTTTTAGGATCCCTAAAACTCAGGGGCAAAAGAAACTCAGTCTACCCAGTAAAACAGTCTTCTGACTTTGAAAGATTCGACAGATGGGTTTTACATTTCAGTGACCAATGGCGTATAAATCGCCAATGGGCACAATGATTCACGAGCCTTCAAACAGAATGAACTTAAATGTCAGAAATTGGATTGTTCAGGTTCTTGTAATAATCAGACAGTTGTTGTCAATTAATATACGAAAGAAGGGTGATGATGGGGCAAACAAAAAGAGCCCAATTGTAGTCGAGGAGCGACTTTTCCTCAAAAAAAGGCATTCACAACACAGAAATCAAGCAATCATTCAATCAAAAGGAGGAGCAGCCATGATCAATGCATGCAAACGAAAAGAGAGAGCCAGAGGAGAAAATTGGAATCAGATCACGGAGGGAAAAAGGGTCGGAGATCTCACCGGCGGAGGCTGCGACGGAGGAAGAAGAGCCTTTAGAGCCGGCGGCTCGCTTGAGGTCGTGGAGACGGACCTGCATCTCGGTGAAGAGCTGCATCCTATGGCACTCCAATTCCTTGGCGAATCTCATTCTCTGCTTCTCCAGCTCCACCATTTCCCTCCGTTTCTTCTCCTCCACCCTCTCGTATATCTGACCAAGCCTCTCTATGGCGTTCGCCACTTCCTTGTATCCCTCTTTCCTCTCCCCTTCCCTCCCGCGCTTCCTGCCACCTCCGCTCGATCTGGACCTCGATCCCTCCGAATCATCATCCGACGCCGGCCACGCCGCCGCCGCCGCCGCAGCGAATGCGGAGAGATTCCCACGGTAGCTTGACGGTTCCTCGATGACCTCCGGAGCGCCGACGACGGACGCCTCGGGATCGCCGATCTAGGAGCCACCGGGAATGGAGTGATCGACATCGGCAGCGTCAGCCTATGGTTGTTTTCGGTCGAATCAGGGGTCCCGGTCGCCGGGAAGTTCTCCCGGAGAAGGTTGTCGAGAGCGGAGAAGAAAGGCCATGGGCTGATGTGACCACCATTGGATTCCGAAACCCTAGCCCTCTCGGTCTTGTATTTCTTCTTCAGCGTGTCGATCCGGTTCTTACACTGCACGTCGGTGCGATACGGCTGCGGCTTGCTGGCGCCGGAGACGCCGCCGCCGGAGGAGAAGTGACTGTCGTTAACGGCGTCGGCGACCTCTTGCCAGTGCTTCTGACGGAGGTTTCCGCGGTTGAGGTCCAGGTAGCGGCCGCCCCAGGCGTCGATGAGGGTGAAGGTAGCGTCCTCGCTCCAGCAGTCATCACGGGCCGGCACCGACGAAGCAGGACGCGATGACGCCGGCGAGGGAGTACCATTGACGGCGTCCATGAGAGGTTTATCGGCGGCGATATGAGATCGGACAGATGAACGGTGAGGAATGAGAGAGAATTGGACGGTGACGGGAACGGAGACAGTGACGGGACGGTGACGGAGTTCGGAGAGAGAGGTTTTGTAATGAAGACTCGTCGCTTTAAAACACAAGCGTGGGTGTGTGCACGTGCGAACCGCGAGCAAGCTAGGCTGCTTGTACGATTTTACATATATACCCTTCTCTCTCTTTTTTTTTCTCTATTCCAAAATTTGCCTTTTCTCGAATTAATTAATATTTCTTATAATTTGTTCCAAAGTGTAAAATTCAATTCTGGTTTGTAGTCTCTATATTTTGTTTTGTAAAATCTATATATGCTTTTAATCGTATAAAATTCAATTCTGTTAGACCTATTTCAGTCCACATTTTGACTATAAAATACTATATTCTATAATAAAAACTGGAAGATAATATTTAAAAAAAATACAAGAAACATTTTTTTTTATCTAACATGTTTTTGTCGTAAATGTTTAAAAAAAAATCTGAAAAGGGAATGTTTTAATTTGTCTGAATGCTCAAATACATCTCCAAACAATGAAATTAGCCAATGGGGTTATTGTCAGTTGCTTGGTTAAACTAATTATTCTAATTAAGAATTTAATTAATTTTTTGTAAAACAAAGATAATTATCTAAGCGAACAATAAAGGTAAGAATATGATTTTTTTGGGTAAATAAGAATATGATTTGTTGTCGTTTTAATTTACTTATCAAATTTGAAAGAATCTTACATATTTGGAAAGAATCGTCATAAAAACTATATAAGTATTTTCTTGATAAATTATAAAATTCCACACAATATATATAAAAAAAAATGTAAGTTGTAATCTAGATTCCAATATTTTAATTTTTATGTAAATATTGTGATCTATATTGAAACCCGCCATATCGAATATTTTATAGCTAAAATATAAATGTTTCCCGGTATTTTTTACCTCCTTGAAAAGCCACAATTCGACACTATAATTTCTGCAATCGCCAGTAAATTCTCCATTATTTTTTAAATCCGGGATAAAACTTTTTATTTTTGCATTTTTTGTTGGAAAATTAATTATTTGAGATACGATTTATAATACCTTGTTATATCATATTATCATTATTGTCTAAAAAGTAATTGTATGTATATTCTGGTCCAAAATATTGTAGGCCTAAATCGTTCATTAACCAAAAACTACCTCACGTGGGTTAAAGTAAAATGGTCTTAAAAGCCCAATAAAGCAATGTAATGTAATGGTAATGGGCTTTTTAGTTCTTAAGCTCACACCAATATTTCAACTTCTAATAAATTGGGCTTTATCTCAAAGCCCACATACCGACAAATGCCAAAAGTATGTGTTTTTTTTTTCCTAATGTGGAACATGAATAATTATCCGGACATTTGAAACTATTTATTTCTATAATTAGTATGATGGTAAAATTTTAAGTATTTCGAATCGACATGTAACGATAATATTCAATAAAAAAAATTTGGTAAAAGAAAAAAACTTTTTTTGTAGATAAAATAAATTGAAATAATTCGGAAAGTTAGTCATTTAAATTTTAAAAAAAAATCCAAAACAACCGAATGTCTAGAACACAAAATCTGAAAATGTTCCAACTATGGATTTGCGTGGTGTCACCAAAAGATATTTTTTGTTTAACAATTTCCTTCGTGGATACACCGGAGAATTGACACGTGGCAAGTTGGGAGAGCCACTGAATTTGTTTTGTCGGAAAGCATCCACGTCACCAGAGTGAGATGCGTGCGGATCTGAAGAAGAAAAAACGACATGCAATCCAACGTTGGGAGATGGAGACAGCACGGTGTACTTTGGGGGAAGGCGGTTAAAGAATCTACAAATAAATATCTTATTACTGTAAATACGTACATTACACATGTACGTATGTAAGCATATAATATGATGCACATGCATTGCGCATATATATATATATATATGATGGTGGTCGACCCATTGAAATTCATCGCCCTTTCATGATATGTATGTGTATATATGTGTGCGTATGTATAGACACACACCTTCTATGATATATTAATTTACACGCGTCTACATATACAAATACAAAAAAAAAGAAACCCTGTATCATATGTACAATTAATGTATAGAAATATGGGGACAAAACAATTAATTAATTATTATTTTTATTCCCACTATTTATTTTAAATTCCTTGTTTTTAAAATGCCGTAAGAATGATACGTTCAAGGCATTAAGAATATTTTTGAGTTGACCTTATATCTTATACTTTGTTGTGATTAACACCAAATACCTTATAATTATCGTTTGGAAAATCACATTTTAGTATGTAATAAACAATCGTATAATTATTCGTAAGGAATTCGATTTGCAGTACGTAATGTCCACCGTATCCACATGGCAGTGGCATGCCAACTTAGGGAAACTTACAACTAATGAAATTATATATACATTATTTTGCATAATGACCAATGAAAACATATATACAAAACATATGTCATGTATATAATTTGTTTTTCTTTTAAGAAATAGAAAAAATGAAAGCAAAAACACAAAAAGGGCATAGAGTTAGAGTACATATACACACACATAAAATAAGTAAATGGATAAAAAGAAACAAATGCGGGAAGAAATAGATTAGAAGGAAAGGAAATGTAACCATCTTCTTCCTCACTCAAAAGCTCCTCCTCCCATGGCGTCCTCCACCACCCTCGGAGACCTTCCCGACGTCATCCTCTGCAACATCTTCGCCCTCGCCTCCGACCCACGTTCTCGATACTCTCTCTCCCTCGTCTCCCGCAAATATTCCTCGCCCTCGAGAGGGCTACGCGCGTCTCCCTCACGCTGCGTGGTAACGCGCGTGACCTTTTCATGGTCCCTGGCTGCTTCCGCCCTGTCTCCTCCCTCGATCTCTCCTTCCTCTCCCCCTGGGGTCACTCCCTCGGGCCTCCTCGCCTCATCCCCGTTCGATCATCAATCCCTCCTCGCTCGCCGCCTCCAGTCATGTTTTCCGGCCGTTGAGAGCCTCTCCGTCTACTCGCGATCTCCGGCCTCCCTCGACCTCTTGCTCCCTCACTGGCCCAAGCTCCGCCGTATCAAGCTCGTGCGGTGGCAACAACGCGCCGCCGGGATCCCCCTTGGCGACGACTTCGTCCCCATCTTCGAGCACTGTGGCTCGCTCGAGTCACTTGATCTCTCCGCCTTCTACCACTGGACGAAGGATCTGCCTCCGGTCCTGCGCGCGTACCCCAACGTCTCGGCGAAGCTCACGCGCTTGGATCTCAAGACCGCGTCCTTCACGGTGGGCTACAAATCAAGCGAGATGATATAACCAAATCCTGCCCTAATGTGATTTCCGAGCCGCCTGCTCGTTTGATCCGAGATTCTTCGGGTTCGTCGAAGACGAGACTCTCTCCGCCGTCGCCACCAACTGCCCCAAGCTCACTCTTCTCCATATGGTGGATACGGCGTCGCTGGCAAACCCTAGGTCCGGTCCCGACGGAGATGGCGGTGGTGGAGGAGGAGAAGCAAGGATCACGCCGGCGACGCTAATGGAGGTTTTCTCAGCTCTGCCGGACTTGGAAGAACTGGTGCTGGACGTAGGGAAGAACGTGAAGCAAAGCGGGGTTGCCTTAGAGGCCTTGAACACGAAATGGAGGAACTTAAGAGTGCTGAAGCTCGGACAGTTCCAAGAAGTTTGCTCCGCCGTGGATTGGCGGCAGCTCAACGGCGTTTCCTTGTGCGGAGGGCTACGGTCGCTATCCATCAAGAATTCCGGCGACTTGACCGACATGGGTCTTCTGGCCTTCGGCAGAGGCTGTTGTAAACTGACCAAATTCGAGGTTCAAGGATGCAACAATATAACAGTGAAGGGGCCTAGGACAGTGGCTTCTCTGCTGAGGAAGACACTGTCCGATGTTAAAGTAGCTTGCTGTAAGAATCTGGACGCGGCTGCTTCATTGCGGGCCATGGAGCTGATCCGTGATCGCATTCGTCGACTGCACATCGATTGTGTTTGGTCGGAATCAGAGGGAGTTTACGGATTCGATCTAAACGAAACCGTTGAAGTAGAAGAAGAACCCCAGGCCAACGAGAGGAGACAGAAGAGACCCAAGTACGAATTGGACGAAGAATACTTGCTTCCGGACAGCAATGGCGACGACGGGATTTGGGAGAAACTGGAGCATCCGTCTCTCTGGATCAATGTCGGAGACCTTCTGACACCAATGCCAATGGTGGGGCTCGATGACTGCCCGAACTTGGAAGAGATTAGGATCAAGATTGAGGGAGACTGCAGAGGGAGACAAACTGACGGAACCAGAGTTCGGGTTGAGCTGTCTGGTTCAGTACCAGAACCTCACGAAGATGCAGTTAGACTGCGGAGACACTATCGGGTACGTCCTGACAGCGCCGCCGAAGCAGATGGACCTGAGCCTTTGGTAGAGGTACTTCTTGAACGGGATCAGGAGCTTCAGCCTGTCCGAGCTCCATTACTGGCCGCCTCAGGACAGGGACATGAACCAGAGGAGTCTGTCCCTTCCGGCGGCCGGGCTACTACAAAAGTGCCTTGCCCTGAGGAAGCTCTTCATCCATGGCACCGCACACGAGCATTTCATGATGTTTTTCCCTAGGATCCCTAACCTGAGAGATGTTCAGCTGAGGGAAGACTACTACCCGGCGCCCGATAACGATATGAGCACCGAGATGAGAGTCGCTTCCTGTAGCCGCTTTGCTTTGAACAGCCGATTCATCGAAGATTGAGATCTGTAACCATTAGAGAAGAAGGTAACTCAAAAAACAAATGTAATGTTTATAACCCTTGTAAGGGTATATGTATATGATTATTTTGAAACAACATATGTGTTTTTTCTGTATGAATTATGATCCAAAAGAGTTTGTTTCTATCTCTTGCCGGCCGGAATCTGGGAACTGAAAGATGTTTTGGTGTGCTGTGTCTTCCTCGAGATAACAGCGCCGCTGTTTTTTTACAAAACTCGGGAAAAAGAAACGAAAAGCCGAGAAAACACCGCTCTCCTCTACCATATGGGGGAAAATTCTGTACACTTGAAGGAACAGATGAGCATATTAGCAGAGCGAATATTCGCAATCGAGCAAACGGGATAGTATCTCCTCGCAGCTCGGCCGTTGTTGCGGCTCCGCCCAACAATCTGCATCAATCCAAACAAGAAAGGATCCGAGATTAGGTTTAGGGTTTAGGGTTCGAAGAAAGAAGATGAACACTCATACCTACCTGCGATGAGCTTCCCAAGTGGGCCTTCGGGAATCTCAAGCCGGGATCCCTCCTTCGCAACAGCATAAACGACCTGAAGCCGGAAAAACAATATACGCAGAACACAGTTATACCCGATACTTGGCTTCGCTGTATATAAAACGCGGTTTCTTGCGTAGAGACACGTACTCTTTCAGGGGGTACGCCTTCCCACGGTTTGGAAAGAGG